GGATCCTCATTTTGTTCTTGAACCTTCTTCTCAACCACATCCTCTACAACCTTGTCCTCCTTTCTCTCATCCTCCTTGCAAGTTTTGGGTTGATAAGTATGTGAAGGGTTAGTATATGAATGTAAGGGGAATTTTGTGGTTAAATGGATAAAAGATATTCTGGCTAGTTGGGAATCAACAACTTCATTGTGAGATTTGATCTCTTGGAATTGTTGAATGATAATTTGACGTTGTTGAAGAATTTGGGTTTATGTGTGGTCGGGTGGGGATTTTTCTTCATACGCTTGAGGATTTTGGTCGTGATGTTGATTTTGAAAGTTCCCTATTTTGATGGAAGGGTAGGAAAAATTTTGGGTTGGTAGATTGAAGAGAGGTCCATCATGGGGGTAGGAGTTTTCTAGCCTTGGAGGTTGTTGAAGTTGTTGAGATTGAGTTTGGGTTAAAAACTTTTTTTCCCTCAAAGTCAAAACTTCACAATGCTTGAGATTGAACTCTCTACAATAGGATGCATCATGATCCATCCCACCACAGCGAGAAAATGAGAAATCAATAATTTGTGAAGGTTTTGAACCCAAACCAACACTTGAGTTCAACTTGGAAAGACCTTCATTCAAGAGCTCAACTATGTGCTTAAGTTGGCCGACTTTCTCCAACTCATAAAGATCTCCTTGCTTCCCTTGGGACCTTCTTTGGCCTCCCCAAGAATAGTTAGTAGCCACTTCTTCAATTGTGGCTTCAACTTGGCTTTAAGGGATCTTAATCAATTCGCCACCGGCACCCGCATCTAGATTGGTCCTTGACATTGGCTCCAAGCCATCATAAAGAATATCACGAGCAAACTATGGTTGAATTCATGATGAGGACATGCTCTAATCAAATCCTTAAACCTTTCCCATGCTTCCCCAAGAGTTTCATCCGGTTTTTGCTCAAAGGAAGCTATCTTCCTCCTCATTTTTGCGGTTTGCTCATCGAAAATGAACCTCTTGAGAAAGGCCTTCACAACTTCCTTCCATGTGGTGAGAGAGTTGGGATTCAAAACCTTGAGCCATTTCTTTTCTCTTCCGGTGAGAGATTTCCGAAAGAGATGCATACCAATGTAATCTTGGCTCACTTCATTTGTCTGCATCATTGCACACAACTCAAGGAATTTGTCCAAATGTTGAATGGGGTCTTTACTTACACCTCCGGAAAATTGCTCAATTTGCACCATCCTAGCATATTGTGGATGGATTGTAAAATTAGTCTCGGCTGTCGGGAGAAGTATACCACTCGTGAGCTCATAGACTTCCGGATTTCCAAACTCCTTAAAAAGAAGGTCATCCTCTTGTCTTGCCATATCTCTTTGAACACAACAAAGCTGAGCACACGATTAGCAATGACAAGTAGGATTAAACAAGCAAAACAAAGAGTAAAGCAAGTAAAAAGACTCTAACAATAGCAAAAATAACTGTTAAACAAGCCACTTCCCAGGTAACAGCGCCAAAATTTGACCGAGGGTTAGATAGGTCGTTAAACTACTACCCTAATCAAATTAATCATTTATAATCCTAAACTACCCTAATGCAAGTATAGGGTCATGTAAAGGGTCAAACCACTAAGGAAGCTCACTAATTCAACATCAATTTTCACTAATGCAAGAGTAAAAAGGGGAGTGTTTTTGTTAGTTTTTGAATAAAGAGCACTAAAACTACAAAGAAGCAAAGAAAATGATGATTAAAATCAAGAGAGAACAACGCTAGGGATACGGGGGTGTCAAACATGATTAGAAAGAGAGGAACAATAATGATTATCATGAAGAACATGCCAAAGAACACAATAATGACTCAAATTCAGAGACAATATCAATTACATAGTTGTAGATATGAGTTGTATTAGTCTAGGCAAATCAATGAGAAAGGTCAATACTAATTAGGATCATTCTCATCCATCCTATTAGTTACAATCAAATCAAGAGAATAAAGAAGCACAATCCATAAAACTCCACTTTAATAACTCATACTCATGCAATCATTAAAATAGAGATGATCTTAATCTAGTTCAAATCACTTTCATGCATTTAAACTAGAAAACTTCAAATAAAATGCAACAATAACCTCAAGCTATCAAAAATCATGTCTTTCATCAATTTATGGCATGAGTTCAATCCAACCATCATCATTCATCCAATATCAACACATATTTTCCACCCCCTTCCCCTAGTTAAGAAATTAGCCAAGAGAAGGGAGATTAAACATAATATCAAAACTAGAAATAAACTCAAGAAACACTAAACAAAACATGATTAATAATAATGAAATCAATAATAACCAGATGAACTAATAAGATTAATGAAAATAAGCAACAATAAAGCAAATAAATAAAGCTAAAAGAAAGGATTAGAGATTACTAAAGAGAGGATCAATGAAAGATGAAAACTTGAATTGTTGCTTGATTGAAATGAACTTGACCAAAAGTTGAATACAATGGAGAAACTTGAGCAATAATTTACTTTCTCTCTCTAAAATTATCTAATCTAACCCTAAGAGAGAGAAGCTCCCTTAAACTAATTAAGAAAATAGCATAATAGATGTCTTCTAATTATTCCCAAAATGGGTATTTAAACTAAGCTCAGAAAAATAATAAAAGTAGGAAAATAAAATAAATAAACTAAGAAGAGAAAAATAAAAATAGAAAGGAAAATAAATTAAGAAAAGAAATAAGAATAGAGAATTAAAAGGAAAAGGAAATAAAATAAATAAATGAAAGAATCCCCAAAATGAAGACAACCCGCTAATTCCCCTTCTTCTCCTTTTGTGGCTGCTCTGATTTCCTTCATCAACATCACCACGCATCATCACCCTTAATCGACATCATTAGATTTCATCTCTAATTGATCGTGGCCATTGGATTAATCAACACGAAATCTCAGCCGTCCTAATTTATTAATTCGTACAATCTCACACGCGAAACTCGGAGCGGCCGCGGCTAGGCTTCTCCTTGGCATCTACCGAAAGTTGGAGAAGGCTGGAAAACAGAGCCCCGCGCCCGCGGCGGTCTGGGTTGCTGCTTGCTGCTATTTTGGCGCTGCTGCTGTTGCGATTGATGAGGTTTAGTTGCGGTGGTGAATGGAGACAAATTGGAGTGAATTGATGCTACTATAATGGTTTTGGGGCTCAAATTGGTGGCGAAAAGGGAGGCGCGGCAGGTGCTGCGGGCTGCTGTGCGTGGTTGCGGTTGATGTGAGTTGCGACTGGACAGCATGGCTGGTTGGAGTTGCGGGTGTGTTGCGGTGGCAGGTGGTTGTTTTTGTTATTGTTAAGGTGGTGGAATTTAGGGAGCAGGGAGTTGCGTTGGATGGTTTGCGTGAGGGAGCAGGGGATTGTGGTGGCTGTGTTTTTGAGGTGAGGGAAGCAGGGAAAGTGTTTTGGGTGGTTTGGGTTGTGGTGGTGTTTGTGTGAGCAATGATTAAGGGCAGTAGGAGCTTGTGAATGTTTTTTGGCTCAATTCGAGATTCTAAACTTGATCCAAACTTGAAACTTGAATATCGACCCGAACACACTTACAACCAAAAACAAACACGAGGGAGAATCGAGACAAAGACTAAAATAATAAAATAAAATGAAGTAAAATAAAATAAAATACGAAACTAAAATGAATAAGAAAACGAGATAAAAGAGAAATTATTAAAACAAAAAGTATGAAACTAAGCTACAAAAATTATAAATTAAGAAAAATAAATAAATCACAAAAATAAACTAAAAACTATTTTTTTTTTTGACAAAGGATACAAACAAGGAATTACAAATTAATACTAAAGAAAATAGAATTAACCGCCGCTTCTCCAGCAATTAGATGAGCCCTGTGGACGCGCTGGCGATCCGCCTTATGAATTCGGCAAACTCGAAACCTAGAGGCAAGTTGTAGAATTTTCCGAATAAGCCAAATATAATCGATATAGCCTTGCCCCTCCCCTCGAAGCAGGGAGACGAGAAAATAGGAATCAGTATAAACTGCGAGAGACATATAACCTTGATCAAACGCCCACTGTAGCCCATACATGCAAGCCAACGCCTCCGCATGTAAGGCCGAGGAACACACCCCGAAGTGACTACCTCCAATAATCCGATCATCCATAGAGTCTTCATTATCCAGGAACCATCCCTTTCCTGCTCGTCGAGAATCTTTGGCCCAAGCGTCATCTATCTAAAGAGAAAGAAGAACACTCCCATGCGAAGTCAGGCCAAGCTGAGCCATGTAAAAACCGGGCGGTAAAGAAGGCCCATCCTCTGTGGCCGCAATAGAAGGGATGCTAGAAAAGGCATCTGAGTCGAAAAAAATTGCATGATTATCCATTACCTCCTGAAACAGAGACTCAAAAGGCCGAGCCACAGAAGAATCCCAAAAAATCCTGGAATTACGACATAACCACAAGCTCCACAGCGTACCAACAAAGGTACTTATGCGAGTACTAGAAAGACCATCCTGACTGATAAAAAGTCGGATATAATCTTGGATCCAATCTGAGAGAGAAAGGGCTCCATTAAATTCTGAGCGAATGCCGAGGCATCCACCCCTCCAAACCGAACGTTCATTAAAGCACATTCTGAAAAGGTGTTGTAAATCCTCCGGTTCCGAACGACAGAGGTCACAGCAGACGTCTTGAATCGGAACTCCTCGGTGATTGAGTTCTACCTTAAGCGCAAGAGCGCGGTGTAGCAGTTTCCATAAGAATAATTTCCATTTAGGCTGCACCGGAAGAGACTAAAGAACCTTCCGGAATGAATTAGAGGCGAAATGTATCGAAGGAAGGGAAAGTTGTTGTTGAAGCATAGCATACCCAGTTTTAACCGAGTACTTTCCAGAAGGGGTACCCGACCAATAGCGAAAATCAGCCTGAGTCGTATCAGGGGCCTCCATAGCCAGGATTGTAGAAGCATCCGCAGGAACAAACCAACCAACAACGTTAGTAGTATCCCAAGCCATGGACTGAAGATTGATGAAAAACTGACAGTGGGAGGGGACTAATGTGGCATAAGAATTCCTGGTTTGAATTCAGGAATGCTGCCATTAACCCACTTGGCTGACCCTGCTAGAGTGGATTTGCCATCACCAGGTTTCCAGTTACAACCGAAATTCAGCAGAGTGTTCGCCTTGAGCAAACCCCAAAGGCCGTAGGAGTGGCGACCAGAATAACGCGGCCCAGTATTAGGGGAGTTGGAGAGAAAGGTCGTGCGAGCACTAAAAACTTTAGAAACTAGCAACTGCGGGTTAGTAAAGAATCACCAAACTTGTTTCATGAGCAAAGACTTGTTTAAGGAGGACAAGCAGCGGATGCCCAAACCACCGAGGCCACGAGGAAGGTGCATGGTATCCTTATTTACCCAATGCATACCTTTAGTATCAGAATGCGCCCAGAAGAAACGCAACAGTAAAGAGTTAATTTTCCCAGTCACAGAGACGGGTAATTCATAACAGGCGAGAACATGGGAAGCCATAGCAACAAGGATTGAGTTAATAAAAATTAACTTCTGTGTTTGTGAGAGGCGTATAATATTTAAACAATTAATTCGGCCCGTAATTTTGTTGATGAGAAACTGAAAATGATCTTTCTTTCTCCCGACGAAGTCAATTGGAGCCCCCAGATGATGATCAAACACTTGAACATGCTTCATATGAAAAAGCGATTTGAAGCCCTGCTGGGCCGCCGAACAGATATTAGGGCTAAACTTAATCAAGGATTTTGACAAGTTTAGTTGTTCGCCTGAAATCTTAGTAAACCGCTGAATAATCTGTATGATATTTGTACAGGTTGTAGACGAAGGCCTAAAAAAGATGAGCGCATCATCCGCAAAGAATAAATGGGAGATAGTAGGGCTCCTTCTAGACAACTTAATTCCTTGAAAAAGCTTCAAATCATGTCCCAAATGCAGCATACGAGAGAATATATCCATGCAGAAAAGGAAAAGGTACGGTGAGATGGGGTCACCCTGGCGAAGACCACAACGTGGTTTAAAGGTTTCCGATGTAGTGCCGTTAATCAAGGATTTGTAAGAAACCGTGGCAAGACATTGTTGGATCATCTGTAACCAACGTTCCGGAAACCCGTAGGCTTTAAGAAACTGCAAAAGAAAACTCCAGTGGATTCTGTCATAAGCCTTGCTCATATCAATTTTAATCGAAGCGAGCCAATTCGTGCCAGTTTTTGAACTATTAATTTTCTCCATTAGCTCGTGACTCATCAAAATATTGTCCGTCATGACGCGGCCTTGAACAAAGGTATGCTGAGAATCTGAGATGAGAAAGGGAAGATAATGGCGCACCCTTGCCACCAAACACTTAGAAGCACATTTGTACACTGTATTGCAAAGGCCGATAGGACGTAAATGCCCCACCTCTATTGGTGTACCAATCTTAGGAATCATAACAAGAAGGGACTGATTCCATTATTTTAGAAGAAACCCCGTGTGGAAGAAGCTTTGAATGGCAGAAACAATCGAGTCACCCACAACATCCTAGTGGGATTTGAAAAATTCGACTGTAATTCCATCCGGACCCGGAGACTTACTATTCCCTAAAGAAAACATAGCAGTGCGAATCTCAGAAGAAGAGAAGGGACGATCCAGGTTTGCAAGCTGAGAAGAATTGAGTTGTGGAAGATCTAATTCTCGTAGAACAACATCAATCTCCGGATCATAGGGAGGCATAGTATCACATTGAAAGGTATCTTTTAGGGATTTCACTACCACACTTTGGACATCCGTCTGGCCATACTGAAGAGTTCCTTGGTCGTCTAACAAGGAACTAATCTCATTCTTCTTTTGTTGACATTTAACCTTCGAAAACAACAGTTTCGAAGGACAATCGCCTTTAAGAATCCAGTTTTTCTTACAGCGTTGTCTCCAGAATTGCAGCTGCAACAAATTACTCTCTTTTGAAGTAACAATTTTGGTCATGTAGAGAGAGGCATCAGCGAGAGATTGAACTAGCTCACCCTCAGTAGCAAGATCCTTCGTAAAATTTTTCCAATCTATACCCCAAAATTTCTTGTTGTTGAGACACCAGTTCCTTATAAGAGACTTGACATGTTGCATGTTCTTAGAGAGAGTGAACATTGGCGAGCCATTGACATTGCGTTGCCAAGTAGAAAGAACAAAGTCATGAATATCTTGATATTCCAAGCACCAGTTGTCCAGTTGGTAAGGACGGTTAGACAGTTGAATGAACGGAGAGTCATCAAAGAATATAGCAGCATGATCAGATATTAGAATCGGTTGATTGAGTAACCTACTATCAGGATAATTATGAAGCCAATCAGAAGTCATGTAAGCCCTATCCAGTCGCTGTAAAATCAGTTGATCATCCTCCCTATTATTCGTCCACGTATACAGAGGACCTTTAAAGGGAGTGGCAAGTAAACTCGATTTCAATCTAAAATCAATAAAGGAATCCCAACCTTTAATAATATTAGACCCCCCCAACCTATCATAGTGATGCTCTATTTGATTAATATCTCCAATAATCAAACAATTAGGGGCAATTGCAAGTAAATCTAAAATCAGACCCCACACCTGAGGCCTATCTCACTAGTAGAAAAAGGCTTATTTGCGTCGCTCATTTATAGTGTATTTGCGTCGCTTCTATGAGCGACGCAACTGCTCGCGACGCAAATGACTTTTAAGTCATTTGCGTCGCTCCTAGGGGCGACGCAAATAAGAGTCATTTATGTCGCTCCTTTATAAACAAGCGACGCAAATGACTTTTTTTATAAACTTATTTTTTGTCATTTGCGTCGCTCTTTTATAAATAAGCGACGCAAATGACTCTTCTGACAAACTTATTTTTTGTTATTTGCGTCACTCTTTTCTAAAGGAGCGACGCAAATAACTCTTTAGATAAACTTATTTTTTGTTATTTGCGTCACTCCTTTATAAAAGAGCGACGCAAATGACTTTTCTGATAAACTTATTTTTAGTCATTTGCGTCGCCCCTTTATAAACAAGCGACGCAAATGACTCTTTTGATAAACTTTTTTTGTTATTTGCGTCGCTCCTTCATAAACAAGCGACGCAAATGACTCTTCCAATAAATGCATTTTTTGTTATTTGTGTCCCTTGTTTATATAGGAGTGACGCAAATGACTGAGTAGACAATACAAAACTGTTGTATTTGTGTCACTTGTTTGTTTAATGAGTGACGCAAATGAGGTGAATTTTTTTTTTTTTTAATTATAATATAATAATTGCCTTGTATATGTTTGTAGTACCTGTTTTCCTAGGTATAAAGTAATATGCTAACGCTAATATAATTGAAATTAAAATGCAATATTATTGAATAATGCAAATGTAAATTTCGGCAGAGTCTCCTTTGTAATTTGGCCTACCCATAAAATTGGGAATGACGGCATTATATTAACAACTTGTCCAATAATTTACATCTCAATATCATAGACGTTATACTCATCATCCCAACACCAATTAACCAAATTACTTCATTTCAAGCCTATAATCCAAAAGAAGAGTCAAACATGCGCTAAGTGGTGAATCTAAAGTTCAACATTACATATAAAATACTCTGCCCAAATATCTAGGATCTCATTTATCTCCTCCTCGGTGTACGGTGTAGTTCTTGAAAAATTCTATCAACACAACAAATATACAAGAGAAAAGTTTTAATTCAAGATTGTAGCTAACATCAAATTGTATTTATCAAACAAAAATGAAATATTTGACAACTCATACCTGAATAAGATCTTCACTGCTATGGTGATGTTCAAGTATTTCGTACATATAACGCATGACGTAGTAGCCACACTCACGTCCACCCAATTGTTGAGGACACAACATGTAATATATTTGTAAGTTGAATAAATTGCTATACTTCAATTATTAAGAAACTAAAATTTAGGGTCAGAAATTAAGGTAACATGTCCCAAATGCCATGTCAATTTACTTCCCCTAGATTGTCCACTTAATGCCTTAAAACTTCGAAAAGCACTACACATTTGAAACAAATAACATATATATTACCCTTACACACATAAAATCATGACATTAATAACAAACTAGACTTACTTTGTCATTGCAAACTTAATTGCTAAATTTCGCTTCTGCCTCAAAGAATCAAAGATGATGACTTCACACTTAGCCATGCATAAGACCAAAAGAACCCAATGATTCTTACATAATAAATTAGACACACATTTGTAAAAGAGTAAAATAATATCAACAATTTGCAAAGTTCAAATAAATACAAGTTCAAAGTTTATACTTTTCATGGTATGGGCATAAGATGAACTGCTTAGATTTTTGTTTTTCCATCACATGTGTCATGTATAGTAGGATACGATCAGCATCACTATGCAAATAGGTTTCTGAAATCATTTCCGGACACATGAATCCAATGGAAGCCACTTCCTCCGTATCAAGTAAGTCACTCAAGGCCCTACATATATATCATGTAATAACATTATAAATGGTAATAAATAAGTATATGGGAAGAGTGAAAGTTGAATATCTTACATCATAAAAACTTGCAAAACTAAAATATTCAGCCAAGCTCCTGTGAAAAGTTGATTGACATCTTCACGTTTGATAATGATGTCCTTACTGTCTTCATAACTAAAGGTCCAAGCATCAGCCTTAACCTTAATAGTTTCACCTTCGGGTAATGAAGATAACAAACTATTCAAAGACCCACACTTCTGAGACAAGTTTTCCAAAGCATAATCCATAAGAAAAACTTTTTTTGGATTGGTGTTGGACTCTTTTGTTTCGCGACCACTTTCAACTACTTTCATTTTGTCTTGCATGTTTTCTTTGGCCGCTTTGTTGTTACCATTGTTCTTATTTGATATGAATTCCTAATCAATAGTAAAGCAAATCTATTCAACAATTTGCTATATTTTGTATGGCAAACTATATGTAAATTGTTACAAAAATAATTTACCTTGTCATGCATGAGTGAAACCAAGTATTTCGGCCATTGGGTAAATGTACCATGAGCATGCTTAAGTTTCTTGATGACTGAAGAAGGAACTGGAACCGAGAATTCTTTGAACTCGTCAAAAAAATCATCAACACTCACCCTCACGTGATCCGGAAGGAGGTTACTATGATGATCAAGGATTAACTCCGGATGATATGTACCTTCAGCTACAATGACTTTCTCAATGACTTTCTCAGAGTCATTTTTCAACAATGATAGCCGACAAGGAACCGGTTCCTTATAAAGATAGAAAAAAATCATAATTAAAAAATATAGAAAACTGAGTTACAAAGTTAAAAGTATGTCGCAGTCATAAATCATTAAAAAAAAGATACAAAATATAAAATAACAAAGTGTTGGATACCTGTATGTTTGCAAATGGATCATCACCCACTGATTGGCAACTACTAGGATTTTGCTGAGTCGTCCGGCCTATGTTATTCATTTCTATCATTTCAGTTGGAATTTGAATACCAATCTGTTTAGCAAATAACATAAACTTCTCTTGAACCATGGAATCCATTTTAGAATCCATCTCCTGCATAGTCTCCTCTTGTACTCTCCGGGCTACTCTTGCCTCTAATTCTTCCAGCTCATCATCTCCGAATTCCCTACCCCGTCGGCCACTACGCCTCTCTCCGGATCCCCATACAACTTTAATGCCAATTCCACTGCCAAATGTTATTGCCCGGCCATTACGATCTTTTTTCCCAAGGGCACGAGATAAGATATCATCATGCCTATTAGGAACAAAGTTTCCTTCAGCTTGCTGCTTTCTCCAATTATCCTACACAATGACTTCAAGTTAGAAAACTTTGGTTGCAATACATAAACTTAACAAAATATATTCAAAATTGAAATAAAGACTTATTACATATACTTATTATATACTTACAATGGATTCTTTCACCTCTCTTGTTTTCTCATCCGGCAAATAAGGATTTCCCTTATCATCTTCTATTGATCTTGCTAGAAGCCAAGCATATGTCCTATCCGGCAAACTAGACACAACCGAAGAACAAGATGAAGTACTGGATGCTGAAGATGTCGTGGGAATATACCCTTTTCGACGCCATACAATATTCATTTCACCATATGATTTGGCTCCTAAATGGTGAGGGTATTCGTTGAAAGACTGGCTTTGTCTTGCCTTCTCACTGATTTCCTATTTTCACGAGCATAAATGAAGATTAGTACATAAGAATCCGTTAACAAAGTATTAATAACCCGCATGATCATTGATATTAATACACACAAACCTTAAAATCATCTGTAGTATGCTCCTCCACAAATGTTTTCCACATATCCTCAGATATGAAATCATAGAGTACATACGGCATTCTTTTCTCCTTCGGCATATTCCTGGTACATGTGATCCAACCACTAACCAATTTTGTTTTGAAATCTCTCCAAGTTTTATCACAAGTGCGTAGGACCTTTTTTTCTTGTCTTCATCTTCTTCGATTTGAAACTCTCTCTACGCAAAAAATTAAAAAAAATAAAAAAAGTTAGTAAATAATTTCATCATATTCAAATAAATTGTTTTCATCATATTCAAATAATGTCAAAATGATCATATAATAGTATAACATTTAACATACAATAGTGAATATTACTGTAACATCTTCCCACAAAGTGTCTTTTATTCCTTGTGGAACTTGATTCCAATCTTTATACAATATAGACACCTTTGCACGACTTATTTCACCAACATGAATTTTGTATGCTTTTCCCCACTTTCCAATGGGTCGACACAATTCATCCCATTCAAGCACTCTAGGAACCCCAGGCATGGATTTTAGGCCCTTTGAAGGACCTCTTGCCTTTTTTTTCTTCTTCTGAGTCGGTTGTTTGTAGCTCTGATTGTGATTGATTGTGTGGCTCATCTTCCTCACTTTGCAAAGACATGGAACGATTATGCAAATCCTCATCCTCCATTATTACTTACCTGAAAAAAAAAAGACATAAATAAATTAAGACATCGATTTATATCATTTTTAAATTATAAACTTGAACACATAACAATAATAAGCAATTTATGCAATTACTAACACATATTGGAAAAAAAAATCATAGAATTCATACCTCCTTCATTCTTCTCTTTTGCGACATAAAATCCTTCATTATGATCTTTTCGATTCAACGTTGTGTCAAAATCATCGACTATTGGAGGGATGCTCCAAACGGAAGGTGGTGACTCATTAAATTGCTCATCATATTCTTCCTCGTCCACCACATCTTCAATGCCAAGTATCCTTTTTTTACCTTCTAAAACAACTGACCACTTACAATCAGCTGGGTCAGCCATGTAAAAAACTTGTTTTGCTTGTGAAGCTAATATAAATGGATCAGCTAGATTTACAAGGGTCAAGTTCCCTTGTTCATCTTTTTTTACACCACGGCTACTATCAGCCCACTTACATCGAAATAGAGGAATCTTAAAATCAACATAATCCAGCTCTATTATTTCTTCAATGATTCCATAATAAAATTTCTTCTTATCCACAAGTGTTTTATCATGTGCACTAACATACTCAAATGACAAACCTACTACTTTAACACAACTGTTTTGCATTGTTGACTTGTCATCTTGTCGGCTAGTGTAAAAAGAATACCCATTGATGTCGTATCCCTCATATGACATGACTTGACATTTAGCACCATATGCCAACCATCTCAATGTGTCAGATATATCGTTAGGTGTGGTGGATAGTTGGGACATCACTCGTTCCTTGAACCATGTAACGAATGAACAATTAGGCTCCTTTATCAGCTGAAGATCACTTTTGGAAGGATATTTATTTTTAAGAAAAAGCATGTGCTCGTCCAAGTAAGGATGAACCTCACTAAGATTTTGCAACACAAAAAGCTCGGCCTTATTTTTCATTTCAAAGCCCATGGATATCCTTTTCCTGCCAATAGTACCTTGACCTCCAAGCCTCCCATCATGTCGAGACTTTGGCAACCCAATTTTTTGTGAACGTGCAAGATATTGAGCAACCAATGATGTCACTTCCTCAGCAACTGTTCGTTGTACAATACTAGCTTCAGGTTTGGCCGGATTCATGACTTTTCCCTTTAAGTCACCCATTTCTCGTTCAAAAGGATACATGTATCTCATACACACTGGTCCACAAAGTTTAATTTCACGTACAAGATGAATAACCAAATGAGGCATCACGTCAAAAAAAGATGGGGGAAAATACATTTCAAATCGACACATTGTCTCAAGTATATCTGCTTGCAAGTCATCTAAAATACTTGGATTTATGACCTTGCTACAGATAGTGTTAAAAAAGACACATAATCTTGTAATTGTATACCCCACTTGAGGTGGCAAAATTCCTCGAATGGAAACTGGTAATAATTGTTGCAACAAGACATGACAATCATGAGATTTCATGCCACCCAATTTCAAGTCAGACATTGACACAATTCTACGAAAATTAGAAGAAAATCCAGCCGGGACCTTTAAACCATGCAATGACTCACATAAGCTAGTTTTTTCCTTTTTAGACAAGGTAAAGCAAGCTGGGGGAAGATACCAGCATTTTCCTCGAGATTCGGGTGCCAACTCTGAACGACCCATAGCAGCCATGCCTTTTCTTACTTTAACTCCATCCTTTGTCTTTCCTGGCATGTTTAATAAAGTTCCCACAATGGCATCACATATATTTTTCTCAATATGCATTACATCTAGACAGTATCTAACTTCCAAATGTCTCCAATATGGAAGAGACCATAGCTCAGACTTCTTCTTGTAACCCCCAGTTCATTTGCTTTTGTAAGGCTTACCAAACTCATTCTCAATGTCTTTGACCCGCTGATAAACCTCACTTGCACGTAAAGGGCCACGAGCTTCTCTCAACTCCACTTTTCCATTAAAAGACCCCTTATTGAATCGAAAAGGGTGGTCTTCTGGAAGATGTCTTCGATTATCCATGTATACATGCTTGCCACAATTGTCTAGGCGCAATGCCTCCAAATCATCTTCACAAATGGGGCAAGGAGTTCTTCCCTTCACAGTGTACCCCGACAAATTCCCGTAAGCTGGGAAGTCATTTATCGTACAAAAAATCATGGCACGTAAAGTGAAATTGGTTTTACTATATGCATCAAACATTTGGACACCTTCATTCCACAACAATTTCAAATCTTCAATGAGAGGCGCTAGATACACATCAATGTCATTTCTAGGTTGTTTAGGCCCAGATATTAGAAGGGGCAACATAATGTATCTAGACTTCATGCATAACCAAGGAGGCAAATTGTAGATAGTTAGAAGAACCGGCCAGGTGCTATATTGGGTACTTAGTGTCCCAAATGGGTTCATTCCATCTGTACTAAGACCAAGCCTAAGATTTTGATCTTCTTCACCAAAGTCCTTGAACTTTCGATCAGTGTTCCTCCATTGCGGGGAATCAGCAGGATGCCTCATTAACCCATCTTTGTTCCTCCCATCAGCATGCCACCTCAATAATTTTGCAGTTTTTTCATCCGAGAAGAGTCTCCTAAATCTCGGTATAATTGGAAGATACCATAATACCTTAGCCGGAGACCCTTTCTTACACATCTCACCAGTATCATTCATCTTGTAACGAGAAACTCCACACCTTGGACACTCATGCAAATCAGCATACTCATTTCGATACAACACACAGTCATTGGGACAAGCATGTATCTTCTCATACTCCATACCCAAGGGGCACATAAGTTTCTTGGCCTCATAGGTGGAGTTTGGAAGTTCATTCCTGTCGGGAAACATTTCTACTTAGGCTTCTAACAACTGCGTAAAACCCTTGTCAGTCCAACAATTGCTCGCCTTTAAGTTGAATAACTTCATAATAGCACCAAGTTTAGTGAACTTTGTACAACCAGGATATAACGGGGTTTCAGCAGCTCTCAAAATACTATCATATGTCTGGGGACACTCTGTGAAATGCTCTTCAACATCTTGCATCATTTCATCTATCCTGTCCTTCTCCACTTCACTCTCACTTTCAACACCAATATCATCAGCTGTATCGATATCCTCTCCTTTGGGGTCATTATCATCATCACAATGATTCTCATCTTCCCTTGGACAATAACTAGAACTTGCCTCAATATATATGCTCTCACCATGCCATGTCCACCTCGTGTAGTTTTCTTTAAACCCACGACGAATTAGATGATCTTTAATATCAACTATATCACGATATCCCCTCGAATTATTACAGTCACAACAAGGACAAAGAATATCTTTGATTTATTCTCTGTTTGGTGTTTTAAGGCAACAGTGCTAAACTCTTCAATTCCTCGTAAAAAACTTGTACAATTTCGTTTACCATACATCCAACTTCGATCCATTTTCAACCACTGAATAACAAAATTAATTTTAAGATAATGTGTACATTTTGTAACATATATAGCTCCTTAACCATAAACAAGAATATAAGGCGTCAAACATTTTCATTCAAAGTTTATATCATGTAAATGCAACTCCGGATGATCCAATAAGGTCCTTATCACTCCAACCTAACCCATTCTTGAATGTCCTATCTCACTACTAACTACTTGTAAAGTTTGGTTCTAAAGAAAATCTGGCAGCATTTCCCTATAGTTCTCCAAGCACACAATGTAGATAATCGGCTATCAACATATGTACCCAGAGAACAATCGGGAAATAGTGAGCCATGATCTTCTTAGATCCAAAACAATTCAAGTAGTTATCACCTAAATGAGATAGAACATTCAAGAACAGTCCCAAACCGGGGACTATTCAAGACTTACTCCTAATGAGTAAGCCCTAAACGGGTATCTAAGTCAATGATGCAAGTATTATTGCAATTCCAATCAATTATATCACAATTAAAAATCTCATACAATTCACAATCATTATACCAACCAGAATAAATAAGTAAATATTGCAAAGAATGGTTCAGATATATATACCACAAGTGAAGACAATCTCGTATGCGTACCACCGCCTTAATCGTTTGTCCACAACCAAAACCTCGAGCAACTTGTGGAATTCACTTCCGCATAATTAAGAATCTGCCATAAAAAATTACATATATTAAACCAACATAGTTGATTCAACTTAATCTGCCATGTGACATAAAAGTTGTTATTCGGCATTGATTCTATTCTTTAATCCTCTTTCTGTTTTCTTTTCTGATCAAATTTGACTTTATTACATATCTTTATAAGTAAAGGTGGGGGTGCATAACTGCATATGTAATAGTCAGGTGTGACGGGGTTCAAGCAAAGAGCAGGAATCTTAGTGGATCATAATTTTCACCAAAACCTTACCTAATTAATTAATCATACTAATAATTTTCTTCATAAAATCAGATCAAGCAACCCATTCCTAAGAGGTATTCACAATATATGACTCACGTGACGCCATGTGAGTCCGTAGGAGCAATTTTTTAATTAATGGCAGATCTACTGGTACCGTACTCACCCCCTTTCCTTTATATCTTACTGTTTATAGTGGACAGGAATACATACAACATATACTATATATGATGATCACAAAAAGTGACCAAACCAAAAGGGACAGTCCAAATATTAAGTATCTTTGTCCCTGTGATTATGATAATCACTTTGTCTGACCACGTATTTGCGTGTGTGCTCGTGATCCTAAATCTCATAGAACAAGAGCGAGCACGAGAGAAATAGAGTTCAGGACATTACTGAAAGTGCCTAAGTAGAGGTACTTGTTCTCATAAACGCACCCAATTCGTGCTTCCCATCGCCCATTATGATGATGCCTACAAAAAAATTAAATGATAAAAAATAATTTTAATAAGACATTCAAAGAATCATAGATGTCAACCAGTAGTATATTGCAAAACAGCAACTATAAAAATCTACAGACTAAATGCAAACAAATTTGCAGAACAAATGGAGCACTAACAATTATCCATAGTAAAAGAACACAATCTATTAAATTACTTTAGTTTGAAGTTTGAAACTTCAAAGAAACCATGGTATTTCAAAAAAAAAAAGCCCCAAAAAACTTTTACCGCAAATTATATCCAGGCTTTGAACAGTGCAATAGTATTTCACTGGGTGGAAGAACAGATCGCATAAAAGCAGGCTTTGCAGGTGAACAACTATGTCAAGTTGACTGCACTCCTACGCCAATAACATGAAGTAATAATAAGCTCCTTACTTAACTAAACTACATAGAGAAAGTAAAAGACAATTTCCTACACGCCAGAGAAAAACTAAGGCTGAGTACATAACCTGTGAGGCTGTGATACCTTCACAAGTATCTGCCTACTTCTAAAGGTCAAAGACCCAAAGAGAAAAAGTTCAATATTTGCTCCATAATTATACCGTACATAATATTGAAAAGATCCTAGATGATTAAGCCTAGCATTCCAATTACAATATCAGTTCTCTATTAGGACATAAGCTAGAGGCCTGGCTTATCATGCAAAGCCTTCTCGGTTTTTTAGTTTTTAAAAGTTACTACTGGCTTAAATTGCAAAGTTAACAATTTATTCATGCGTTATTGACTATGCTATTTAGGCTTGGGTATGCCGGTATGGTACATATCCGTTTTCAAGGACTATGCAATATGCTCAAATGACTATGCTATTCTACAGACTGTTCAAAGATGCAAACAAGCAACCAGTAAAATATTGCAAAACAGCCATATAAATTCAATGACTATGCAATATGCTCAGATGAAAATTGAATTCAAAAATTCAATGACTGAAATTCACAAGTATGCAATATGCTCAAATGAAAATTCAATGACTGAAAATTATAAAAATTCAATTAAATCTGCCATATAAATTCTAATTAGTGAACTAACACTAAACCTGAAATTAAACTAAGTCATTGTTCAAGTTAAATGCTACATTCTATCTACCATGAAAAGATTGAACATAAATAGAAGCAATCTTACCATAGGTGAAATTGATTTCTAAAATTCAACAATGTCGAGCCGAAATCGATTTTTGGGGGCGAAATTAAGCGATTTTTCCACTCGAAAATTCAAAAATTCAATATTGCTGTAATTTTCTTGAACTTCCTCGGGTTTTTGGGGGCGAAATTAAGCGATTTTTCCACTCGAAAATATCAGATATTGCTCGAATTTTTTCAGCAGGATTTTTAATTGATTTTTTTGGGGTTTCTAGGGTTCGAATTCGTATGGAATTGAGTACATTTTTTGCTCGAAATGGGGGATTTTTGGTCGAAAATAATCAATTTTTCTGGGGTTTAAGGGTTCGAATTAATTAGGGTTTTTGGTCTAAATTTTTGCTCGAAATTGCTCGGATTTGCTGCCGATTATGGGTGTTGAACTTGATTGCGATTTTGGATGTTGAATTTGCTGGGGAATTGCAGTTTTTTTGGCGAATTTGTGGGTGTTTTTTGGGCTAATTTGTTGGATTGAAGGGTCGAAATTAAGCAACTCTGTTTAGTGAAATAGTGAAAGTGAAAAGCTAAGGTCAAAAAAGCGCAGAATGGGTAACCTAAAGCAGAGTTATTTGCGTCACTTTATAATAAAAATGCGACGCAAATAACAAAATCTGAAATGCTGAAAATTTGTTATTTGCGTCGCTCATTTATTAAAAGAGTGACGCAATTTATTCACTGCCTTATTTGCGTCGCTTGTCAGTAAATGAGTGACGCAAATAATAAACTTATTTGCGTCGCTTTAATAAATAAGAGCGACGCAAATGATAGAAA